GGGGGGGGGGGGGAGCTGGGGAGGAGAGCGGCTAACGTCCGTTCAATGATCTCCTCCCCGTACTATGGGACTGGGAGTGATGCAGATTACATCAGTTCCGGCCCCCATAGCTGTCATTGCTGGGGTCCTAAAGCCCAGTAATAAGCTATTAAAGTGCAATTTGCACTTCAATAGCTTATTTCACATGTAAAGGTGATACTAGGTGTCTTTTGGACCCCCAGTATCACCTTAAATAAATGTAAAAATAATGAAAATATTTTCTGAAAGAGGCAAATGCCTGCCCCAGTGAAGACGCGAATGTCCGCCCCCGCCAGAGTGAGAGCAATAATTCTAGGGCTAATATTTACACGCATGAACTGTGGGGGCTTTTGAAGCGTTGTCTATGGACTTTTTGGGGTACTGAATTTCGTCGCAGTTTCACGGATGCACGCAATTTTTTACTTAGGCATGTTGGGTATCTATTTACTCGTTTATATTTTATTAAAATAAATGGATATTTTATTGTGTTTTGGGGCATTTACGTGCATTTTTCACTAAATTTTTGGGTTTGATAATAAGTTGCGCTTATATCGTGCAACTTAATTTGCAAATGCGACCATTTTATTCTATAGGGTCTTAGCTTTCAGAAAATATATAATGTTTGTGGGTGTTAAGTAATTTTCAGGCCTAAAATGTATGGATTATAACATGTAAACAAAAAAATGGGGGAAAAAGGCCTCGGTCATAAAGGGGTTAACTGAACTAGCTGACGATAGAAGCTGATTGGTTACTGTGCACTGCTACTCCAGATTCTGTCCGCTCTAGTTTTAGTTTGAGTACATTTCCCATTATTGTTTTGGAGATTATAAGTATTCTTCAGCCCAAAATTGAATATTTCTAGCGTGTGTGTACAAATGGGGGAAGAAATGGCCCAACAGCGAACGGATTAAACAGAGCACATTCTGAGCGTTAACATCACCTTTCTTTTGCTATATATGGCCTAAGGCCTAATAAATAATACGATGATTAATATTACATCACTAAAGTTGTCCCCTTGTTATATTGTAGACATTCCTGGAATTAATATTGTGCTGTGTTTGTGCATGTGTGGGTGTGTATGATGTATTCTTTTCCGCAAGACTTTTGAAGAGTTATGTGTACTGCAAATCTATTTGCTAGCAGGAGCAAACAATAATTCAGCTATGCTGATAACTATGGTATTCTGTTTTTAGGTTGTAAGAAGGTACATTCTTGGTTCAATAGTGGAAAGTGAGAAGAACTATGTGGACTCTTTGAAGAGAATTCTTGAGGTACTATACAGATTCATAATATACTTCTATAGAAATTCCACAGACTGACACAACTTTGTGTGGGTGTCATGCTGTATACTTAACCGAATGCAATAAAACTCCTGCAGGAATACACTGTCTACAACTTTAGCGATAAAAAAATAATAGGATTTGCGGATATACTTTTCCTGGTAACTTATCTCTTATTATCTTAGCTGTATGGAGATACTATGGGAAATAAGGAATTGTTGCCTTTATGCTGTTAAATACTATTTACGTTTATTGTTACATTAGTTGCTGCTTTCCAAACACAGCTGCTACAGTTTGACCCCTTTGTAATATATTACAAGTAAGATCCATTCCATTTTTATTAGGCAAATGAACTGGTTTCATGTTCCCTTCTTCAGTTCATGGGCTGTTTTGAACCAAAGCTAACACTTTGCTTCTGAATAGCATTTGGCTTAACTATATTGTAAACTATTCAGTGATAATTTGCCAAGATAGTATTTCTCCAAAATTATATTTCAGCCATGTGGGTTCACAGAGACCAACCACATCACCCTGAATGCCCAAAAACTAATAAGCACATCCTGCGTTATCACGCTAAAGCATTGCTGAAACCAAGGTTTCTAAATAATAGAAGTGGGAAAAATGTGCCCACAGGATATATTTCCAGTACAGGAAACAGCTTGTGACAAGTGAAGTCGAAACACTGGGATTTCCTCTTCTTCATAATGTACCTCTGATGCAGATGTTCTCTAGCTACCCTTTTGTTATGTTAACAGATGTTTAGTTAATGTAATTTTTGTCAAGGTGTTTTCAGTGCAGATGTCACCTCTGTTTACTGTATCCCTAAAGAATCCCATTCCTTTTATTGCTTGTAATCATTTTTTACAATCAGCAGAACATCAGGGTGCTTGTATTTTACAGAACATAGCTACATATCGAAAGGTTTATAGAGGACAAGAAACTTAAGTTATTATCCTTTGTGCAAGTAAATTAAAAAGTAAATATAGTGCCACAGAAATACTTTTGTAGCTTCAAACTTTCATTTTTACATTCTTGCAGTTTATGGAATAAAACAAATATAGATCTGAACTCTTTTTCTCCTGATGCAGCAATATGAGAAGCCGCTGTGTGACATGGAGCCAAAGCTATTAAGCGAGAGAAAGCTGAAAATAGTCTTTTATCGTATAAAGGAAATTCTACAGTGCCACTCGCTCTTTCAGATTGCTCTTGCCAGCCGGGTGTCTGAGTGGGATTCAACAGAAATGATTGGAGATGTCTTTGTAGCATCAGTAAGAGAAACTGCAAAATGAAAATTATTTATATTCAATGTTCTTTTTTTTAATGGATAATTGCATGGCTCGTTATGCACGAATAACCCGCTGTATAAAATATATATACTGTGTGTAATATATATATATATATATCTCATGTGTGTGTTTTACACTATATAGTTAAATGAGTGTGGACCCCTGACCATCACACCTACCTGTATGGCCACAAATATGTGGACACCCCTCCAAATGATTGAGTTCAGGTGTTTTACATTGAAGGGTACTGTCCATGCTAGAGCATGCAAAGACATTTTAGACAGTTGTACACTTCTATTTGCCCTTGTGCAGAAAGCCAGGGCTATAAACACAAGGTTTGACTAGATTGGTGTTGAGAAACTCCTTTTGGAAAAACTGGAATGCTGGTTTAGAAGTGTGTTAGGTCTTCTTGTCCTCACAACAAAGTCCAAATCCCATTCGCACTGCCACGGTCTCAAAACCACAAGGTATATGTGGTGCCCAGGTGACCACACGGATGGCGCCGTGCAAAACACTAATCGTAAATAAAATTAATTCACAGGCACACACTTGAAGGGTTTTTAAAGTATTGATATGTTTATTCAATACCCAATGTCACATACTGTGGTGTCACTGTCGCTCTGATGAAGGATCCCTGTGCGGACCCGAAACGTTAGCACCGTATGACAGTATGTGACATTGGGTATTGAATAAACATATCAATACTTTAAAAACCCTTGAAGTGTGTGCCGGTGAATTACTTTTATTTACTATTAGGTCTTCTTGTCCGACATCATTACTGACCTTACAAATGCTCATTTGGCTAAATTCCTGCAAACTCCAGATTCTTGGGAAAAGCCTTCCCAGAAGAGTGGATGCTGTTATAGCAACAAAGGAGCAGCAAACTCCATATTAATACCCATGGTTTTTGAATGTGGAATCCAGCAATCTCATATAGGTGTGATAGTTAGGTGTCCATAAAGTTTGGTCATATAGTATGTATGTATATGTTGCATAGAAAACTAGATATGGGTCTGAGTATAGCACTACAAATATAAATTGTCACTTTTTCAGATACACCTTTAAACCTACATAAAAACTGAGTTTATACTTGAAACAATTACAGAGACAACTGTGAGTCATATTAGGTTGCCAGATAGCAATCTATTCATTAAAGAGAGTTGAATTTTTGTCATAGTTTTAGTCCTATTAATTTAGTTTTTATTTAGTTTTCACCAGTGAAAACATGCAGATGATGAAAACTATGATGAAACATTTTAGTTGTCTTAATTAACACTGGTTATCACTCTGATATTTGAGTTTTCATTGCAAAATGAGAATGAAATGAACAGAGCTCCAAAGATATCACTTAGCCAGTTTTCAATTTACATGACATTAATAAAAATTATTAAATATGTCAAAACAGCCTGAAAAATAAAGATGATGTAGGCAAAACACATTGGTAAAAGAGTGGTTGCAAGTCAAAGCTCACAGATAGGAACATACATTGTATTAATGTCATAATAAAAGATGTATATAGAGCCAGCAGTTTGGGAAGCATTTTACAATATATAGGGATATAGTGCAGTTACATCGCGGCCGGGACGTGCCGGTGGACGCCCTCTATGTCTGCGTCCCTGCAGAGGGACTCGGCATCTTCCGCTGGCAGGTACCTGACAAATACAATTAAACCCAAGATGGTTAGGAGGGCCCTGCTTGTGAGCGCTTACAATTTAAAATAGAGGGGCAAGTGATTAAAAAGGTAGTAACTGTGTGGGGATTAATTAATGGAGAAAGAAAGACTTCAGTTGTTTGGTAGGGGCAGTATAGTTACTTTTGGGAAATCTTTTTATAATTGTGTCAAATTTTACCCCATTTGCTACATCCAGATGGATTCATGTTATGAAGAAAGCCAAAAGATATCTTGAATCCCCAATGCATATTGATAGTTCTTCAACATGGTGGGTGATTGATAATAGTAGGACAGGTACACTATATGGTGCAAACATTCCTCCCTCATATTTTATTTTATTTTTTTGAACGATGGGCCTAAATGCCCCCACTGATAAACAAATTCAGGAATAGTTTCATAAACACTAAGGTAAAGTCAAATGCATTCCACGACCTCCCCAATTAAGAAATTCATGATAATGTCTGGAGCACAACACGCAAGTAGATTTTCATGTCATTCCCTCAATTAACTTGTGTTTATCGTTTGAGAATAGTTCAAAGCCCCACTAAGTACAGTTAAGTTTTATTACAACCTTCCAAAAAAGGATTGAAAAATTGCCCTTGACCTTTGAAGCTGTTTTGTGTATTTACAGTGCCTCGCGAAAGTATTCACACCTTGGTGTTTTTCCTGTTTAATTGCATTACAACCTGAATCAATGAAATGTGATTTTTGGGGTGTTTCTACTAGGGAAGCACCGATACCGGTTTTCCGGTTACGAGTACTGATATTTTTTTCCGCTACTCGCCGATACAGAATACCGATTTAAGGAAGTCCGATTAAGGAAGCCGGGCGTCGTGTAAAGGCTCGCAACCCGGCATCTTGATTGTCTTTCTGGCCAATCAGGAAGCCGGGCATCATTACGCAGCGTCCAACTTCCTGATTGGCCCGGAAAGCTGACTCCATGCTCTCTTGTGACGAGGGAGAATGGAGGGCTAATCAGGAAGACTGGCAGCATGTAATTACTTGCTGCCCGGCTTCCTGATACCGGAAGCTTAAGTATTGGGCTAGGTATCGGAGCGAGTAGTCACCCAAATACTCGGCATCTGCACCAATACTAGTATCGGTGCATCCCTAGTTTCTACTACTATGTGATGTACATAACACGCCTACCATTTTGTAGATGTAAAATAATTTTTTTACACAAACAATGATTTAAAAAAATAATAATTCAGAAATCAGTTTGCACAAGTATTCACCCCTTTGCTATGAAACCCACAAATAAAATGTGGGCCGACCAATTAACTTCAGAAGTCCTATAATTAGTTAATAAAGGTTGACCTGGGTGCTGTCATTGTCACAAGATCTGTCACATGAGAAATACACCTGTTTGCAACACCACTAAGCAATCAACATAAAGACCACTCTTCATACAGATCAGAAACAAAGGTACCAATTATTCCATTATAACAAAATTAAAGGAATATGGCACCACTACAAACCTGACGAGAAGAACTCACAGACCGAGCAAGAACAACATTATTCAGAGATGCAACAAAACCCCCAAATGATAACATTAGAGCTGCAAAAATCCACAGAGATGGGACTAACTGTCCATAGGACCACTTTAAGCTGTACACTCCACAGAGTGGAGTTTTATGGTAGAATGGTAAGGAAAAAAGCCATTGCCAAGAAAGAAAACAATAAGAATACTCATTTGGAGTTCATCAAACAGCATGTGGTAGACCCCCAATACATAGAAGAAGGTTCACTGGTCAGATGAGACTAAAATTGAGCTTATTAGCAATAATGGCAAACACTTTATTTGGCGCAAACCAAACATTTGCCATCATCCTGAGAACATCATCTCCACAGTGAAGCATGGCCGGGGGCAGCCGTATCATGCTTTTGGAAAGCTTTTCATTGGCAGGGGCTGAAGGAAAAATGGATGACACTAAATACAGGAAAATTCTTAAAGCAAACCTGTTTGTCTGCCACAGATTTCACATTCGGACAGAAGTTTACCTTCCAGTAGAGCAATGACACTAAACAGATTGCTAAACACTGGTGTGGTTTAAAGGGTAACATATACAGTATAAATGTCTTGGAATGGCCTAGTCAAAGCCAAGACCTCAATCCAATTGAGAATCTGTTGCATGACTTGAAGATTGTTGTATACTAATGCAACCCATCTAAATTGAAGGTGCTGGAGCAGTTTTGGCTTTTGGTACTGTATTGTTATTGTAAGTATTGACTTTTGTGAGGTGAATAATTATGCACACTTAAGAGTTTTTTTTTAGTTTTTTTTTAAATATCTTAATTATTGTTACAATACAATTATTTTGCACCTATAACGTGGTAGGCTTGCTACAAAGCCCTCAAATATCCATTCTAATTTTAGGTTGTAATGCAATAAAATATTTTAAAAAACTCTAAATATAAAATGGGGTGAATGCTTTTACAATGCAATGAATGTGTGTTTATTTTTTTTAACTAATCTACCTATTTTGTAAGTATGTATATACATACTGTATATTATTAGCCAGAGACATATCTGATGTCAGATTTTGCTTTCTATGTTATATATATATCAGATTCACATCCATATCTGATGTGATTTCAAATATTTTTGCCAAATGTTCAGTTGTACATCTGTAAATGTCTCCCATATATATTTTTTTATCCTTTGCTGTGTTCTGCAGATATCGACTATAACAATATAGGTTAGCTAATCTGGCAATAAGAGCAAACTGCTTTCAGATCTGACTTTAGGCCCCGGTGATGTTAGTTTTAGTTGTATTGTACTAAATCTGACCACACTCCTTACACTGTGAATGTACAATCTTCTTTAGCTTTGCCAGCCGGGCATGTGGTGCCAGGGTTTTCTTGATAGGGTATAAATTGAATTCATTGTTTAGGTTGGACAGTTTAGCTGTTACAAGCTGTTTGTGGTGTAATCCAAAATATGCCACTTAATGAGCTACCTTGCTATAAACCAGTTTGGCATGTATTTTTGTGAGCAGAGAATAGCTCCAAAATTCTCTTGTCTAATTCTTGCCCATTATATCAGGAGCAAATATATTATTTAACACTCTGCAGAAAAGTACAGAGCTTCCAAATCTTAACTGCAAACCATTAGATTAGAAATACACGGTTACAGTGTCCAACATTTTAAATGCGCATTTACTCTGTTATCGTCCCAGAGTGTGTACTGTACTGGAACAGATGCAAATGCCGTAATGCCAATTGCTTCTTGGACTTGTAATTCAGCAACATGTCCAAAGAACATGGGTAAACCTACATTATAAGTAAAAAAATGTCTGCTCACATTTGATTTATAGGTACCTCTTGGTATGCATTAGTTATGTGTAGTAAAAAAATAGATTGTTTTCGCAATCATTGTGTTTAATGATGTAGAGCATATTTTACATAGAGAACATTTAATTAAGAAGGCTCCCGGTGAGAAGTTTATGTACCAGTATGCAGTATGTAAGACACCAGCATTTCACATCCATTAGGCCATTCGGACAATACTAGTCTAGTACAGAACCTGAACATGCTGTTTATGGATATTTTGTGCTCTAGTGTGCCCATTTTTCTTTACGTATACGTTGCCAATCATACCAATTTATATTGAGAGGGTTATTCACAAAAGGGTGAGGAGTTTAGAGAAGGCAGGTGAAGTGAGCAATCTAGGACAACATAGCTGAACTGAAAAGTGAAATGAATTGGAGAATTTTTCCAAATCAGCTATCTTGGCCTAGACTGTTCACTTCTGCTTTCTCCAAACTCTTCACCCGTATGTGAATAACCCTGAAAGTGTTGGCGGTACTCACAAAATGCTTCCTTTTCTAACAGAATGCATTGACTAATAATGAGAATGTGTTTCACTAAATCTACTACATAAACATCACATGTTGTTGTTGTTTCTTTGTTTGCTTTCTAGTTTTCTAAATCCATGGTACTTGATGCATATAGTGAATATGTGAATAATTTTAGCACAGCTGTCGGAGTTCTCAGGAAATCCTGCGCTACTAAACCAGCCTTTCTGGAATTTTTAAAGGTACGTTTTTATTTTTTGTTATTATTATTATTATTATAAATCTTACCTCATAATGCATAATATTTAAGCAAGGTTGGGGGATGAGAACACAATAATATATTTATATTTTTATATATTGTTTTAAAACAATCACTTATCTATTGTATTGGTAGAAAGAGAATTGAAAACCAGTAGTTGTTTTTAAATAAATCTGAAACATATGATTGCAGTCAGTAAGGGTCCAGTCATACCCCTACATTGTGAGGTTAATGCAATACTCTGTAATTATCATTATTATACAGGATTTATATAGAGCCAACAGTTTGCGCAGCGCTTTACAATATAAGGAAGACATTACAATCACAATACAATTCAAGACAAGATGGTAAGGAGGGGCCTGCCCCTGAGGGCTTACAATCTAAAAGATAATGCTTGTCAAATTGTGTTGGTGTGCTATGGTGCCATTCATTATGAAAGTCACCGCAATGCATGTGTTTTGCAGTGCATTGCAAATCATGGTGACTGACAACCTTGTGGTTTGGGGAACTTCGCTAGCCAAAAAGCTGCAGAAACAATTTTTAGTCCATTGTGTGTTAGAGAGCTCATTCAAATAAATGCACTGCTTTAATGCAATGGAAGTTAATGCAGGACATAAAGGTGCATTACCACATGCATATTAACACTACCTCAACAGACCACACTGGTATGGAAGGGTACAAAATGTAACCAAACACAATGCAACATTTAAAAAACAATGCATTTGCCAAGCAAAGAACCTAGCAAGGAGAGACATGTTTAACCCCCTACTCCTAATTTTCCCACCAAAGGACAAAGACATCATCATGAAGGAGCCAAGAAAATGTGGTTGTTGGGGCTACCCCCTTCCACTGGGGCCATTAAGGGATAAATGCACTTGGCATTTGATATTTAAAAAAAAAAAAAAACCAAAAAAAACACTTGATTGTTGTAGGGTCAATTTACAGGATTCCTAAAAGATATGTATCCCCTTCTTTTCTATATCTACATATATACAATACTTGTGTGCAAAACCAGTTAATTTCAGTTTTCTGTTTTTATTAATTAAAGCTAATCTCCAGACTGGAGGATTAGATTATTATTATAAAGGTACCTTGTCTAAAAACTATGGATTTTTGTTTTTTCAATCTTTTTTCGGCCTTCAACATGCTCCTTATTCCATCTTCATGGGTGTTCTGGTTTATGCGGCTGGGTGTCTGTTTTCTGCCAGTGGAGAAATGGCTTCTGGTTGCATAACCTCCTTCATGTAGGTTATTAAAGGGAGCAGTGGCACTTCAGTCTGTGGGCGGTACAAACATTGCAGCACTCGGGCATGACCTTTGATTGGCCCAGCATGTCAGTGATTTCCCATGGTATTATGGGAAATGTACTTCAGCTTGCCACATCGGAAACACGTCGGATGTGACGTGCTCTGCATCTGCAGATCCTCCCCCTGGCTCTCCCGGGCAGAGGGATTCTAAATGAAGAAGCTGATGACATCATATGAACTAAAATCAGTAATTACTCAAAACGTAAGGGAGAAAAGGGTATAAACTGTCCAGGATCCTTGAGTTTTTCACTCCCAGTTTCTTGCACTACTGAACATAAACAAGTTATCCATGAACTAATAGCATCTTTAAGGGCTTGTTCACACCAAATGCAGACCAGAGCTGCATGAGTTTCTGCACACACAGAGTAGTGTGTTATACTGCGTTTTGTGCATCGTTTTTGATGCGTTCAAGGCCGTTTTTGGTAAAAAAAAAAATATTTTTATTTAGTTTAAAATGGGCTTTCAGTGCATTCCAGGGCGTTTGCATGCATGTTTGCATGCGTTTCAGAGCAGGTAAAAGGCCTTGTTCACAACTAAAGCGTGTGCGTTCCAGAGCGGTAGCTACTGGAACGTACCGCGATCACTAAGAAACTTCTCCCCGCGTTCTGGGCGGGAGGGGGCGTGGCGGTGCATTGAATTCAATGGCAGTGCGATCGGACGCGTGGCAAAACTTTGCCAGCGTTCCGTTCCACTGCAAATGCAAAAAATCGGGCTTGCTGCAGTTTTTTTTTACATGCTCTGGAACTGAACGCAGTGGTGTGAACTAGAGCCCAAAATACCATTGGAATACATTGGACGCAGTTTTGAGCAGGTCTGTAACTGCTCTGCCCTGCTTCTGGAACATGCTTGGTGTGAACTAGCCCTAAAGTATGGATTGGATTTTTTTAAACTCTGTGCATTAGATTTATTTTCAATAATCACATCAATATTTTAGAAGATCGATATATCAAATTCACAAAATATAAGCTTGAAGTTACTGCGACTATTCAAAACATAACAAATGAGGACACTGCAGTTACCGTCCCCTTTTTTTCCACGTTTCTCTGCATTGCTGTAAATGCTGTGCTTGAAGAGAGTATAAGTGGGAAAAAATAACCATGACTTACAGACATTCATACATATTTAATTGTCTCATTTGCCTTTTTCTTCACTGTTACAGCATATCACGGAGATAAGTTGTCACCATGTTTTGTCTCTTGTAGGCAAGTCAGGTGATGTACAGCCTGTGATTTGAGTTTCAAATGCATGGTTTAAAGTTTGATGTTGTCTTGAGTTGTGTGTTTTTAGGGATGTAGCATGCATGCAATGCTCTACCTTCTAGCAATAATTTAGGCAATGTAAGTAAGATATATCCTTAATGCAGCATCAAACATATTTCATAATAAATCCACTACACATTAACCTTTCAGTAATGTGAGAGGCCAGTGTAGAGGTGTGTTTTGGGTCAGATTTTTCTTAGTAGGCCCTAGGCAGCTTTTGCTTGTGGGTCTCTGCCAGAAAATAATTAAACCTAGTTCACGTGTATGTTATACTTTTCATTTTCTAGTTACTATGTTACAGATTTCACACTGTGGCTTCTGGGTGACTTCTGCTGCTATGTTAAGCAGATGTATTGAGAGCTGGATACGAGGTGGGATACGATTGACACCTCCCATGTCATATCCAAGCTTGACAAAGAGGCAGTGGCCTCGAAACGCGTAGCTACCGAACACACAGAGCACTACCTACAGAGAAGGCTCTGAGCACCCTTTGACTCCACATCACCGCGGTATTTCAGCACTAGTTTGCGGTCTCCAGAGCAACCCGATCCGCTGACATCCATTCAGTGCACACCTCACACTGCCGTTGCGGCTCAGCCTGGCGAGCTGAGTTCGCACAGCTCCCAACACTGGACTGCATTGTCAACCTTGGTCTATCTAGGCATTTACCTACCCACCCCACTTTCATCTCACCCTGTACCCTGGCTAATACTACGTTATGCACAGCGATTACAGAGGATTTCTCCCTGAGACGTAGTGACATCTAAAACGTGAGTGAATTTTTAAACAGTAGTAGCACTCTCAATACATCTGCTTATTGTTGCTTCATACAGGGTTCCTCACCCTGTTGCCCATAGAGCTTGCACACTGTCTTTTAACCATTTGGTGCCCACATCTCTAGAAGTGGTTACTCTATGTAGTGCGCTTTTCCATTTTTTATTGTTTTAGTTGTGCTGCTATGTTGATGCTTTCTGCATGTTCTGTAAGAATGTCACAAAACAGTCAGCTATAGCTGTCATTTTTGGTGTTCTCTGTTGAAGAATTTGATCTTCATTAACCATTGGCTCTATGAGTACAGTAGTGGTGGTCTTTTAGCTAGAGCACCATTTACAGGTGCAGTGTGAAAGCATTGTGGCACTCATGTGACTCCTGCTGTCCCCCCACGCACTTGTCCCTAAGGATGTTTTAATGAACATCACTAGAGTTAGAGAAGTAGGAGTCACAGTTTGGACTACACCTGGCCAAAATTCTGTTCTTCAGAAGTAAATTTGTGGACCAGTATTTCCTGAATATCACAGTCAAAAGAGCAAGTGATTGCAGGTGATTGCATTCTGATGAGTTTGTTGCATGCAGCCATAGGCCAGCTTTAGGTAGTGGGAATAGGGATAAGGAGTTTAAATATAGTCTGTCAGGATAATAATATGAAGGGTGCCATGCTAGAACAGTTAGCGGTCAGCTTAAGTTTGAAAGTTGCTAACTGTCCGACCTCATACACTGTCTCCCATTGGACAGTGTGTTAGGGCAGGAAGTATACATTATTTATAAGTAATCCTGGTGGAGCCTGAACATTCAGATGTCTGCATAAGAGCGCAAATTAAAAAAGTTTGATGGCTGGGAAGGTTATTTACCTGAATGGGGGGG